TGCTGCTCCCGCCGCTCGCCTCGCCTCGCCTCGCTCGCGCGCGCGCGGGGCACGCCGGGGGAAAGAGCGGAAAGAACGCTGGGAATGGTAGTTGGGGCGCCGTCGCCGCGAGGCACGCTGGGACTTGTAGTTTCCGGATCGTTCTTGCGGTGGGCAGTTGGGAAGGATCCCGCCGCGGCTGATGGACAATTATTCCTGCAAAGGATGTCAGGAGCGGGGAAGCAGAGGAAGTGGGAGCATCCGAGCAATGAAATTTGAAAAACAGGTTCGAAGCCAGCCGGGCAGGAAAGTCCGTGATACCCTTTATCACACACACACACACACGGAAAGCTCAGGGACAGCGCCCCGTCCCCGAGTTCAAGCCCAAGTACAGGCACCAAAAAGAATGCATCCCCCCCCACCGCCTCCATCATTTCCCTGCAGGCCACGCCCGCCCCAGGCCTGCCTGGCGGCCCCCGGGCCTTTGCCCATGCCGTTCCTTCCTCCAGACCCGCGGTTCCCTTTGCACCGCTCGGGTCCTGGATCTGTCCCGCCGTCTCCCGGCCGCAGAAGGCCGGCGTCGGCTCCCCGCCTTCGCTTTTTGTTTTCCTTTTCCTGGGCACTGGGCGGGGCTCGAGGAGGGGGAGTCCCCACCCCTCCCCCCAACGCCGCTGGTAGACGGGACTCCAAGTCCCAGAGCCCCCCGCGCTGCCCTGGTGGGGGCCGAGCTCCCCCCCCGCCCAGATTTACGGACGGGATGCGGGGGTGGGGGGCGGGTCCGGCGACTTTCAAAATTTTGGGCGCTGCTGATGACCCCTAAGGGTCTGATCTCGGGGTTCTGGGGGTCAACTTCACATGGCGGGGGGGCGGGGGGAGAGACTCGGGGTGGACCCGGTTCCTGGGCGGGGGAAACTGAGGCACGGAGGCCCCCCCCCGGTCTGGACCGGGTCAAGGCGGGACGCGAGCGCGGGAAGAGGGTGGACACTCGCTATCTGCTTTGGGGACACGGGGTGCTGACCTCTGACCCCCGGGCCGCCCCTTCCTGCTCCCTCTGCGCCCCCGGCGCCCCCGTCCCGCCCGGGACTGGATTTTGGCGCCAGATTTTCAAAAACAAATAATCAAAATAAAACGCAACGGCCACGCCGGCCCGGAGCCCGGATCGCGGAGCCCGGA